ATTTTTCGTTAAGATACGTGATCAACCTATTTAAAAATAGTCATTTTGCAACTTGACGACTTTGTAGATGATAAAACAGGGAGAAAAAAACAGCCCTTGCTGAGTTTCTTGCCGGTTCTTCTCAGTACAAGGTCTCCCGCCGTAGATTTACGAACCGATGGCGTAGCTTCTAGACATTCATATGTGCTTGTAACAGCCAAAACTGAATAAATGATTTTGATTATTATGATTATGATTACTAAAGAAACAAAGTTAAAATGATCTAAAAAAAAGCTTTTTAATCTAAGAGTTCAGCTAACTGCAATGACTCTTTTGAAAATGCCGCAATGCCTCCGCTCTTTTGTATTTAAAACAATTATAAGTCTTAACACTCGTGATGAAGTAAGGATTTTAACGACATCCTTAACACCCAAAGAGAGAAGAGAGGTAGGGCATAGCATATTTTCCGCCAGAATTAGAGCGCCCATCTGGGGGAGTAACCTCCACCTCACAGAAGATCACAGTAAAATAACACTACCTTTTCGTCGTCTGTCGTGTCGTGTTGTGTTTTTCAGACGAGAAAGATTCCAGGGCTCCACGGAGTAGGGGATTCGCTCAGGGTAAGCAACGGCGCGAGTGATATTTTTGATATCGTAAGCGTCTAGAGGCTATGGTGGCCGCTTACCATCAGGCGGATCATATGATTGCATGCCACCCTTTTAACATATCAAACCCAAATCTGTAAAGTCGTTTAGATGTTATGGTGAAAAATTTTACGCCCATATAAACAACATCCATACCATGAACTCTGAAAACATTCACACCCTTTTCGGCAGACATAAAATAACAACTCGACAAACTCGTCTCAAAAGGTGAGAAGTCAACATTTATTAGATCATACTGCCTACTTAGGTTCTCACTCAGCCCTTAAATATTTACAAACTCCTTGGGTGCCGCTCCCAAACTTCAAATAAATAAATACCAAAACAAGTTTCGAAAGCCCCTCGAATGAAATTAGGAGTTGGTTCCAGGAAATGTTCGTAGTGAATCTCCAGCATCCAAAGACAACACGAACTTGCTACAAAATTAAATTAGGCATTATGAGTTCGCTACTTCGTTAAGTACCGTTTAAGATTTATATAATTTTTCAGTTAATGGCGTCGTTATGGAGAGATCCTTTTAACTTTATTGCGGCACTTCTTGTTTTTGTTGTAAGTCGACAATTTTGTTCGATGCCTTGGACACTGGAGAGAAAATTAATAAGACTGTAATTGATAAAACTTTAAAATTGATAAGACTTTCGAATATAAAAAATACTAGCGGCCGCCCGAGACTCCATCCTCATTGAATTTAGTTTTTTTTTTAATCCCACAGGAACCTAAAATTTTTCCTGAAAAAGGAAAGAAAGAAAAAAAGCTGTTACATACGTATAAAATGCAAAAATACATTAAACATATAGTAAAACAAAACGAACAAGTAAAATGAACAACAACAAAAAACAGCTACAGAATGTGTATTTTATGTGATGCCAACACTGGATATGGCTCAGCATACACAACAGGCAAAATAACTGCTGCACTGGTATTCTGCCATACCCAGAGCAGTGACATCACAGAAAACATTATTAAAAAAAATCGGTCAGAACGGTCAGAACACATCACAATATCTGTGGCAGAAAATTGTTTATGATTACAGAAGTAATCTTTGGTTGGTTACAACAGCTTGTTCTTTTAATGGTCTGTGGTTACAACAAAGACCGATGGACTTTGACCTGTTAAGAAAAAGTGACACGTATACAATATAAAAAAAAAACAATTAACTGTAAGGCACCATGATAGATAAATTAGAAAAAGTTTCGGCTGTTACAAAAAGTAATATAATTTCGGAAAATAAATTAAAATGGTAAGGGAAACAGATATTTAAACGGGCTGCACCTGTGACTGCAACAAAAATAACTTGAAATTGTTTTTAAATGTATTTTTAGTGAACGTATTGGGGGTGGCAAGTTATTTCAACATTTAGAAGCTGAGTACTTGAATGAGCCACGAAAAGCAGCAGTTCTGTGTGCGGGAGTCAATTTCATGTAAAAGGCTGCTCTTGAACGAAACATTTTATCTCTGGCCCAGTTAATCTTAGAGTAAAGATACCCCGGCACTCAAGTGTGTACCAATTAAACAAAAGAGTGGCAAAATGCAATTGTTTACGAGAGCACATCCTCATCAAATTGGAGTTAGTCAAGTATGGTGTAATATGGGCCCTAGGTGGAATAGAAAAACAAAAACGCGCACATGTATTTTCTACACGTTGAATGAGACGTTCAGTTCTTTCTAGCTTGCAGACATGGGCCAAAAAGTACATCAGCATAATTCAATTTGGACAGGACCAATGTTTCACACAAACGAATTCTTAAATCTTCACTAAGCAAAAGGGCAAAATTTACGTAGCATCTTAAGACGGTAAAAGCAATTTCGAACTGCCTCGAGAACATGTTTTTTAAAATTCATATTTGATTCAAAAATTACTGCCTCTGATACATGATCAATGGACTGACCATCAACAAAGATTTGAGGATCGTTTAATATAATACTAGTCACCTGTTAGAGCCAAGAATCAAATATTTGGTCTTCAGCGGATTGAGAACCAAACTGTTCTCGTGTGACCAGATAAGTATGTTATCTAAGTCCTTATTAATCTTACTCACAGATTCACCAGTATCGCTAGGAAAGCAGCTTCGATACAGCTGCACGTCATCAGAGTGTAAGTGAAATTGACAGTGTTTTATGCTTTCAGCTATATCTGCACTGTAAATGATAAACAGAATGGGAGCCAAAATTGACCCTTGAAGGACACTTCTGCAAATAGCACGACACTGTGAGTAAGATACAGACCTATTTCCACCCACCACCTCCACAGTTTGCATCCTATTTGTGAGGTAACTGTGAAACCAGCGTACGGCTGCAGCATCAAATCCAAAGTAAGTAAGCTTTGACAGAAGTAAAGGAATATACAAATAATCGAAGGCACGCGAGAAGTCGAGGAGCACCATCAGAGTACCCATACCCTTATCCTGCGCAGACAGAATATCGTCGATTACGTTAAGGAGAGCCGTAGATGTACTGTGCTTTTTACGAAAACCTGATTGTAGCTGGGGTAGCAATGAGTTGAATTCCAAATACTTCACTATCTGATCACACACTACCTTCTCAACAATTTTAGACAGACAAGGCAGAATACTTATTGGTCGAAGATCGCTAACGCTGGATGGATTCGTGCATTTAGGAATAGGATTAATTAGAGCTGTTTTCCAAAAGTCAGAGAATTGTGCATCGCTTAAAGATTTATTAACAATGGACGTTATTTATTTAGGTTACATGGAAGACCAACAGCTTATTTTTATATACTAGAAATGAATAGTAGCGACAGAGAGCCAATTACAGGTCCTCACATCTAGATATAATTTAAAGTTATAAAGAAACTATTTGCACTGTCCAATGTAAAAAATCTCTTAAATATAGTTTTATAAATGAGGTACTTATGATAAATAACAGAATAACAAATTACGCACATGTTAAGTACATACACTTGTCTATGGAATTAAAGTCTGGAATAAATGTTAATTATTATTATATTAAGTATTATCTCCAAAAAACAAACGAGCAATGATACGTCTGATCGTCGCTTCGCTAGTGTAAAAAGATCTAAATTTACCTGTTTTGATAGTAAGTTGAAGCTGCTATTTGCTCGACAAAAAAAGCGTTCTACCGATAATTTGTAGAAGTACTTTAAATAGAATTAATCCTAAGGGTTTTGGGGGGAAGTTCAAACAAGATCTTTGCACTAAGTGATTGTGGAAGAGTCTCAAGCATCTGCAAAGATATACCATCAATTCCAACTGCATCAGAATGCAGACTATTTATAACGTTTGCAACAGTGCTAGCATCAGTACAGAACAGATCAATCAGAGTCTGACTATGGTCTGTGAAATGAGTTGGCGAAGTGACAACTTGTATTAAATTAAAAGATTCCAAGAAAGATGATAGCAATTTATATTTTGCATTGTTATTAAAGTTAGTAAAGTCAACATGGAAATTTCCTAACAGGGTGATAAAGTCATGCCGAGCCATCGAACACACCGACTGAGACAGGGCATCACGGAATACATTGAGGTCCATCCGGGGGGGGGGGGGGGGGGGCTATAAGCGGTTCCAATAGCGATTTGTAGAGAGTTTACCCTAACACTGAGCCGCATCTACTCCACAGAAGGGATGGGAGGAACGGGGCAAGTACGCACATATATACCTAATATAAAAACTCAGTCCACCCCCTCGCCCTCCACGAACAGAAACAGGTCGAGGGCAATGCCGAAGACGGTAACCAGGCAGCATAGGAGCACGGCCATCATCCCCATGTCTGAGCCAAGTCTCATTTATAGCGACAATGTCAATAGACAACCTGCTCATGATTAATATGAATTCGTCATGTCTCGAACCCGTGACCCAGCATTAAACAAAATTAACTTTAAACACAATAAATTTTGTGTATGAAAAACAATATATTGTTTTTCATATATTACACATTTATTGTTTTTCATATATAGGGTGAAATTGAATGTTTTAATGAAACTTCGTGAGATTTTTGGGTTACGTGTATAGAGAGAGTATGCCTGAGTTTTTTCGTTTTTTATTTTTTTAATTGGGGTTTTTCAAATGAGTAATTATTCATTTTAAACACGTCTACATAGAAGTTGTAAAACAACTTAAAATAAACACTTAAAAAAACGGAAACTTAATGAATGCCTCCAGCCGAGATCAGCGCCGGGAGCAACGACCGGCGGCCGCCTGTGTAGGTACCTACTACATGCACAGATGACTCGGCGCTTACCTACTTTCCGCCTTGATTCCACACTATTTCAAAACATTAGTACGCTACGATCACTCGCCTAGATAGAACGCGTACCACTGTTCCCGTTCAAGTCTTAAATTCTGAACCTTTTATCGGTATTTTAACAGTCATATTAAATAATGAAGTGCGCTGTTTGTGACGAGTCATTTAATGATGGCGTTCAGTGTGGAGTGTGCAAAAAACATCTGGATTTTGGTTGTGCCAATATTTCCGAAGCTGGATACAGGAAGCTCGGCTCTGACCGCCGGACGGCGTGGAAATGCCCTCAGTGCAAGCAATCGAGGCTGTCACCTGTTCCCGGTGGCGATCCATCTGTTCTAGACAACATACTCACCGAACTGCGGGGTTTGAAACAGCAGCTCGCTAGTCTCCCTACCCTTATTGAAGATGTGAAATGTATTAAGCAGGAATTGTCAGACCTAAAGGCGTCTTGTGAATTCAGCAGTGACTGGTTGGACAAGCAGGAGGTCAGACTATCTGACTTAGAACAAAAAGTGTCAGATGTGAAGAAAATCGAGCTTTCTATGAATTCGGCTGTAAATGAAATCAGCATTCTGAGAAAAGAGTTGGTGCAAAGAGATCAATGGAATCGGCTTAATAACATTGAAATTAAGGGTGTACCGGTCAAGTCTAGTGAAAACCTCTTCTCTATTGTCGAGGCGCTGACTGAGACTGTTGCCTACAGCTTTCCGATAACTCAACTAATTATATCGCAAGAGTACCCATGCAGAATTCTAAGGACAAATATATTGTAATTAGTTTTCTTAATCGGTATATAAAGGAAGAATTTATAGCTGCTGCACGAGCCAAGAAGGAACTTACTGCTGCCGATATTGGGTTTGTAGATAACACAGATCGCTGAATACAAGAATCTCCTCACGAAAACGAAGTCAGTTGCTAAAACCAAGGGCTATAACTATGTATGGGTCAAGTATTGCAAAATACACGTGAGAAAAAATAACAGTTCCCGTGTTTTTATAGTACTGAGCGAGAATGATTTAAACAAAGTTATATAAATTATAGCATAACTAATTTCATTCACATTCAATTACTAATTGTTTTTTGTCATGCTTTGTTTTTATTGTTTATTACCGCAATATTTGTTAAAACAATTGCGCACATTACTTTCTGTGTTATCGTGTATAAAAGGTTTATAATCGCTGTATTCCCTGTTGCGTCGCCGCTTCGCTTTTGTTCCCCACTACTTGCTCAAAACCTATCCGTGCGCATAACGCACTCGCTTCTGTTGAATCTATTATTTGTTATTGAATGGCGCTGCTTATCTGCTTATGACCTTGGATGCTTTCCTTGCTTGTTGCGTTGTCGAGTGCAATATTATTTTGTACACAACTTACGCGCGCTTGAATTAAATTGCAATGGATTATTAATACGTTATAATTGCCAACTAAATTTAATTACTTTTGTTTGTTTTTTACCCACATGTGCCGTTAATGAATTATTATATGTCTATGTTTTTGTTTATTGTCAAATGTTATTTATTCAAATTATTTTTTACGCGCCGTTTATGTTAAAGTATTATTACTTTCTACGAATATACTTCTATGAATTGATAAATATTGGCATAATGGGTATTTTTAGTGCTATTTTTGTTTTATTACAATATAGGTTTTTGCATATTATCTCAGATGGCTAATACAATAAATAAACTTAGTGCGTATTATCAAAATGCTAGGGGCTTACGAACGAAAACATGTATATTTTTTCGTAAAGTATGTGTCAGTGATTATGATATAATTATTATTACCGAGACTTGGCTACTTGAGGGTATTAAAGATTCCGAGCTTTTTGATAGTCGATATGTTGTTTTTCGGCGGGATCGAAATTATGTAATGACTGGCCAAATTTATGGTGGCGGTGTATTAATAGCAGTGCGTCGAGATCTAAACGTTGTACTCCGCCCTGATTTCCACTCCAGTGCCGAAGACCTGTGGTTAACACTCAAGCAGCGTGGTACCCACCGCCCCTTCAAATTACATATTTGTGCGCTTTATTTGTGTAACGAAAGTCGAGGCCTCAGCTTTTCACAACAGTTATCTAATTTTTTAAACTGTTTGAGCGACGTAGTTATGCAACAACCGCATGATAGGTACTTAGTGGCGGGAGATTTTAATCTGAGTAACATAACTTGGGTACCAAATGGTACAGATGGCTTTTACTGTGTTCCGTCGAATTTTAGCTCCGATGATGAAAGCCTTCTTATTGACGATATTAACACACTTGGTTTTAGACAGTATAATGGGATTAGGAACTCCTACGGTCGGATTCTTGACCTTATACTATCAAATGATAGTGTCAAGGTCGGTGACTGTAGCGATGATCCACTCGTGCCCATTGATCTACACCATGGTGCCCTGACCATCGATCTGCAGTTCGCTGACACTGTCTCACTGAAAAGTGCTCCGCGCATCCAATATCTTTTCAATAAAGGTAACTATGATGCGATTAACTTAGAAATTTCAAATATTGATTGGCACTCTGAACTTATGTCTAAGCCCTTGGAAATAGCAGTAGATTATTTTTATGAGATATTTAAATCACTAAGGGATAAATACGTACCTAGACCCGTCACTAAAAACCAATACCCTAAATGGTATTCGCCATCTCTGAAGAGGGTTCTCAAAGAGAAACAAGTTTTGGAAAAAAAATCAAAGGAGATTGCTCAGCTTCCATACATGTTTGGCCTAAAGACCAATAATCATGAAAAATTGTTTCCTAGATTCGAAATTATATATAAATTACTGTAGAAACGAATATTATTGCCGGACACCCCTGAGAACTTCTATAAACCATATACACCGAATATATTAAAATAATAAAAAACAAAAAAGTTATACTTATAGTAAACTAGGGAAATCAAGCCAAGTACCGAAATTATGGATTAGATTCAGGTATATAGAGCATGTAGCTTATCAGATAGTTGCCTGTTTTTAAAGTTAATGCATAAGAGTAAGTTTTAAAATCGGGTGTCATTTCCGGTTATAATAAGGTACTCTGTGACAGAAACTGTGTGATGATTGTGAATGAGTCACAGATTAGAGAATTTTTAAATTCTCGTTAACCAAAGAAAACTAAGAGATTTAGGTTCTATAGCCATATATTTAGTAGCTTCATTATTTTTTTTATGTTTTTAAGATAACCATATTTTAGATTTTTAGTGTATCACACCTTATAATTTTATTTATTTATTAATTTATAGTCAGGGAACGTAGGCCCATAGATAGATACCTTAAAGTCTAACATATATACAGATTATAATGTGTTTATGGAGGTGTTTGGCGAAAAATGTATGGCAATAGACTTTATGATGTCGCCTACCATCTATAATAATTGTTTGAGCACTGTACGGGACGCCGGGCTGTCGCAGTAGCGGACAGTTACCGACTCGTACTGAGGGGTGGAGGAAGTTACACGCAGGAGTCTTGACTGTAGTGGACTGTAGTTTCGGCGAATAAAACCCCTGGTGTTCGGTATTGAAGAAATCGGTGGGCGCTGATAATGGATGGCCGGTGAGAGGAGGCTTCAGGTCCAGAGTGAACCGCTTGATTGTTTCTTCCTGTTCCTTATGGTAGGAGCGCCTGTCGCTGAATGCATGTCGGAGCATGTTCCGACTCGAGTTTTATATGCTAGGACTGAGCTGGCCAGCGATCCAACACCTCACCCACGCTATACTTTATTTTTCATTTTCTCAAAAATTACATTAGTGCGAGCTTAAAACTAATTGTACATACATCGGGCATACATATAGGCATATTTTTAACACAGTTATGTGTCCGTAAGCATGATATTTTAGGTGTGGTGCGCAAAAAATAGGTCTCCGCAATATTTATACTTTCCCCCTCCATAGGGCTTCGCCCTGCCACGGGGCTTCGCTGCCCCACCCGCGCGCTCCGGGCGCGCCGGGTGGGGAGCGCAACATGTCTCAAAAAACGGTTCTATACAAACAGATTTTGTCTCCTACACGGTACATTTTTACATTTATTGATGTGATACCTAATTATTTACGTAGCCCTACGCGTTATCTACCTAATACAACAAGTTTCTTACAAGAATATCAACAAACAACAGCTCTGCGGCCCTATAAAGTTTACAAATTAAAAAGTCTTAAAAAACCTACTTACATTCATTTAATGCCTAACTATCATATACCATTTTATAGAAGAAGTAAAAACACACAAAATAACATCATTATTATAACAATTATACCTATATCCTATTGACTATTCGTAAAAAACTATTCCCAATATTTTCCTTAATTACGCCTAAACTACTAACACGCTTCATACAAAACTTTGACATATTACTCCTATAACTACCTACTTTCTAATAAGACATAAAATAAATCAATCAAAACATAAAACATACTATTATCGAAAACTATCAACTCAGGCAAAATCCTATAAGATGTGAGACAAGGACAACCTATTGTCTCCGTCCCTCCTATAGGTCGGAACTATCAGTATTCTGACTAGTTTCCCCGCGCCACCGCTTGGCGTCGTGGCGATCGTTTAGACAAAGTCTTATAAGATTGTTGGAGAGAACGGGGCGGAATATCGCTCTGAACTATCAATTTTACAACGGTTTACTATGGGCAGAGTTATCTATTATTGCGATATCCGACTCATTCTAATAAGACAACAAGGGAATGATATTTTTAATGCGTATACAACCGATACATGTGAAATTATAGATACACTTTATACATCAATCTCATATTGTCGTAAGTTCATTTTCTCTTGCTTCGGTCGTCGCGTACAAGCACATTTGCATCTAGTGAAAATGATAATATAGTTGTGGATATTAATACCACAGTGTAATAAAAAAATATTTATTTTATCCATCTTTACAAAATAGATTTGTTTCTTAGGTTTTCACGCACATCACTCATTAAATAAAACTAGTTTAAACGGGATAATGCACGAAACTTTATTTATTTATTGACGTTTCGTAGCCTTTCCAGGCTTCGTCGTCAGAATAAAACTTTTGTTTAATTTGTCGAGCTACCTTCGAAAGACTTTTATTGAGCGTTTGGTTATTTCATCGTTCGATTTTTAAGTTTTATTGTCTATGTATGAATTTATTATTTAATTTACTTAATAAAGTATTTTATTTAAAATTCTTGTTTGTAATTTTGCGTTTATTTATTTGACCCTAACTACCGTAAACTACCACCGGTTCCAAAATTGGGAGACCTTCCTGAGAAGAACCGGCGAAACAAACTCAAGAGAGGCTTTCTATCTCCTTCTTATGTTAAATTATGCAAACAAAAAGAACTAATAGTATCTGATGGTCTTGTAGTATGTGCTCGGGGTTGGGATTTTATCTCCTGTATAATAGGTTCCCAAGCTGGTGGTATATACCAACCATCTTCCCTATTGAAATTTGGATATTTTTTTAATCTCAATAGCCTCGCGCATCATTCGAGGAACGAAACGCCGCTCAGCGTAGTAAATAGATTTGTTTTTATGTTATATAAACAACTTCGATCAGTCTTTGGCTGAATGTTACTACACCCATAGCCATTAAAAATGATTCGTATGCTTTTCAAACCGGTAAAATTAAAAGTCCTTTTTAAAGTAAATATATTATACAAAGGTGTCCGTTGAAATCTAATGACTGTAAATTAAATTATAAATTACGCCAAGAATTACCGTGTATGTCAATATTTTTTGTGCATTTAGGCCAATTTGAGCAATCTCCTTTACGGAAACCGATCGGATGAAGAGTCGTTTAAACT